GTAAATATACAGTAAATGTGTACGTACATACATACATACATACAGAAAAGAGTGCCATTGTATACGATATACCCCATTTTTATTCATGAACTACAGCGGCAGGTATTTCGCGTTGCAAACATACCGGAATTACGTGATACTTGTTTGTTGCTTTAACGACGTAAATATTGCGTGCCGAATTCACTTTTTCCATACTTTGACGAAACGGGGAGAAAAAGGTTTTCGGGTCATGGGTTGGTCATTCGTTCCATTGTCTGAACAAAACGTACCTACCGACATGTTTGCATGAATTCGTAATATTTAATTTGAGTTTGTAAAGTAAGATGTACGAAACGTGTTTAACTCAATTACCTACATACTTTATTTTAATAATGAACTTCTGATGTACCAGATGTCCTGTTTCGGATCATCCTTGTGGATTTACATCTGTTACTTCAGTAGAAATGATGATGAGCTGGGGTAGAAATGAACGATAAGGTCAAGATGTTACATCTTCAGTGACAATCTGGGCTCTGGGCGAAGATTACACCTTATACACTTGTCTACAAAGCATCTGGACCTAACCGTTCATCTCCCCCAGGTGCTTCTATAAATTACGTAACGCAATTTTGGAAAAGGGGAGATGTCCGGCTTGGTATTATGGTTCTGTTATGTGGAGGGGAATAAGGGTTAAGGTTTGAGTCATGTAAGGATTTCAGAACCGGAATGTTGGAAACAGTACTGGATGGCATATAGATACACAAATGAGGGATAAGTGTGGTTAGGTTTTGGTGAAGAAATTTGCCGGAATGATTTAAGTTCGCTGCCTTGTTTTGGTTTGATAAGTAGTAATATTGGCACACATTGACAAGGTTTGAAAGCCTTAGAAGCCTAAACCTTCTACAATACATGTGCTACATAATCGAACAGAGGGTTTGGGTGAGGGGGGGGGGCACGTACCTATTACAGTGTTGTTGCATGGGGAAAGGAAGATAAAAAAGATCAGTCTCCCCACTGCCTTTACATGGTGCATAATTTATTTTGTGGACAATAAAATGTTGCATTCTACACATGGCGTTCATTACGTCTAAAAGCAACAACTAGAGTTAGTCTGTGCTCCGTAGGAGTTGTCTGCGACGTGCTGACGAGACCCAATAAGATCGTCCGACAGTTTCGACATAATCCTGAATACTATTGGATCTTCTTGTGCTGTTTGATTACGTATCTACCGCATAGGGTTGGATACACCGTGGGTTCAGTTCGACAAATTGATATCCTTAAAGATTTTGTCTTAGTAGTAATTCTTAATTTATTTCACTTGCTTTTCTAGTTTTGCTCTCGTATTCTGCATTGTAATTACTTCAAAACTCTTGTATAATATTACGGCTTCTTCTTCTACATGCCATTTTTTCCCAAAATGTCTGATTGAAGGTGACTTATAGGGGTTAGAACGTTGGAGATCAAAGAAATTGACTTTATTTCATTTGCCATCACTCATCATAATAAAAATTTCAAAAAATATTTGGGGTCACTATTATTCAAGACTATATACCTATTATTTTATAAAATTGAGCGAATTGTTCTTTTAGATTAACTACGTAATGTTATTGTAAGATTTTGCCACTATCGACGACGCGAATGATATATGGTGTCTGATCGACATACTTTTTTATTTTTTGAAGAATTCTTTACATTCTCCATTTTGATAAATTAATGTAACTTTTAAAGTTGAGACATCAACCTTGGATCATATACCTAAATATTCACTAATTTCGTTAACCAGGTTGATGATTACTAAACCAACGAACATATTTCAAAAAGTACTCAACGTTTAAGTAATTAATATTATTTAGTTACTTATAGGCAATCGGACACGTTAGTGGTTATTAAAGGAATTAATTAATTTGGAAGTTACTCATATGCATACTTAGGTATGTATAGTCCTGTCAGAAATAGTTCAGAAAAATCAATTATTTCAGTTAGTGATCAAACTATGAATACTACAACATCTTTCTCATGCCTGCATTATTTTGGAGTTACCATCATTATTATAGACAAAGGGTGGAGTTTCAGTCGTACCATGCTTTGTTAGTTTTCCATAGCATCTATGGATTTCAGATGTTTACTTGTAAACGTACACTGGTAATTATAACTGTTTACTTCTAGAATTTGTTAAGTTCTAAAGACAAGTTTTAGATCGTTCTGGTGCTCATACTGTTTTTATATAAAAACTTATACTCGCGGCTTCGCTCACTTTGATCTCTTAAATACGTGTGAAAGATGATCGAAAGTACAATAATTTGATAAATTTCTTATTAAGTCCTGATCGGGATCATCAGGATAAAACTAAAGTTTCTAATTTTCTAGGTTAAACAAGGTCAAAGATACACTTTGCGTAGAATAACAGTAAATACTATCCTTAATTATCGATTTGAAACGGTTTTTTTTTGTATCCCTCGGGAACAGTATTTTTTCTGGATAAAAAGTACTCTATGTCCGTTTTTGTACCACTACCAATGCAGGTACAAAATTTCATCATGATCGGCTGAGTAGTTATTGCGTGAAAACGTAATAAACAAACAAACAAAAATTGACATTCCCAGCATTTATCATATTAGATAAGATAAATGATCAATTTGTCTTCATTTGCGATTAACACGTCCAAACTTTTTGACGATAGTGTAAAATTGTTTTACTTTTACTATTTAGATTATCACGGAGTTAATCAAGAATTGTACGTCTTTACGAGAAATTTTAGGTCAAGTTGTTACTTACGAAACTTTATCGAAGATTTTAATGTCAGACGGTGCTTGTAGCAACAATTATTATTTTAATTCTGCCAGAACGGAGTTGCGTTCGTGAATGGAGGAGTGTCAATATTTTTTAATATAAATAAATAATGTTTCGACATAGTAGTTTGCTCATGATTTGTCAGTTAAAATAACGGCGTAAATTCGGTTCAAGTATAAAAATGTTTGTGCATCAGTAGTTACGAATACTACTGTCAGTGTCAAGTGTTAATAGCGAATTTACGAATTATGTTATTAGAAATATCCTTTATACCTAACACGCACTCACTTGAGGGTCACTATTTCTCTCAAAACGAGAAAACAGCCTACTTACTTCCTTGAAGCGTGTTGAGTATTTTTATTGGTGACTAGCTGACTCGGCAGACTTCGTNTCAATCTACATAAAAATAATCTGAAACAACTTTCATATTTATTCACCTTTTAAACCTTCTCTGGAGTTCCACAAATAATTCAAGACCAAAATTAGCCAAATTGGTTCATCCGTTCTCGAGTTTTAGCGAGACTAACAAACAGCAATTCATTTTTATATATATAGATAGAATAAATGGAGAAGTTCAATAAGGTGTGACCCCTGAGGTCCTCATAAGTAATTTCCCAATATAAAGTAATAATTAAATATTTTTTGAGTTTCCATTAATAAATAAATATTGAATTGTTTCCACCTTTGCATCTTTGTTAAAATACGAATAAAGAAACACTTAAATTTTCACAAGCTTTTTATTTCATTTATAACGTCAGGCTACTGAGTATAATATAAAAAAAAACTTTTGGGTGTTTCATTCGCACCAGCCACTAATGCTGGAGGGCGGACAGTCCCTCCGGACTACACCGGAAGGTCCTCTTCAGCTTCCTTTCAGGAATCGTGGGAATGGGGAGGGTGGTGATTCGGGTGAGAAAGATGAGACGGACGAAATGAAGACAGAAGAGAATGAAAGATTATCTGTGGAATATAACTGCCCTAAGTGATCCAACGAAATCTCAGAAAAACTTAAACCAAGGCACACGGACCCGGAATTGAACCGGCATCCTCCCGAATGCTAAGTAATGGACTAAACCTATGGCTATGCCGCTCGGTTGAGTGTAATATCTATGGGAGTTAAATATATATTACAAATGTTTGGGGGCGAGGTGAGGGTGGTATTCAGTTAAAATAAATTCAATAGAGGGGAGTTATTACCTTCCTATGGTGTTTGAACATTGAACTTTTAGTAAATTCTAGATAAGATATAGATGTAAAAGAAAGTGAGCAAAATGCGTAAAAAATGTTCGAAATTTGTAGACAACCGACAAGAAGCGGGGTGCTTTTATTTTAGACACCCATGGCCTTTAAGTGTAAGAATTGAAAGCACCTTCGTTTGTTTATATGCGCTTAGACGGTTCGCCTTTTCTATCTATAGAACATGACTCTTTCCGCACACACTACATTGTACAAAACCAACAGCAGAATGCTTAAAACAAGGAAAACAAATAATGATCGATTGTTATGCAGTAGTACCTTTTGTTACTGACACTTGCTTATAAGTCAAACAAATGTTTAAACAAATGACCTGGAAATCGCTTTTACCGTCTATGTTCTTGGCGATTATAGATCTGCTAATTAAATTAGACGACTCCCTATTTTGCCGTCCAATATTACAAAATTTTATACTGGGATGCAATATAATACACATGTGCAATAATACTATAGTATTACAATCAATTTTCTAGTATACTCTTTTATTTAGACAAGTCAAGACAGTGTAGATTTAAATCACTATTTAAAATTCTCGTTTCGGTACCACTCATCATATCAACCCTCTTATCTTGATTATATCCTGTTGGATGTTGGTCACTTACTTATACCGTTCTGGGGTAGTTCTGGTTATTTCCGGAAAGTTCCCGTTAGTTTCTTTTGTCATGCTGTATGATTTAAGGCAATTAGCGCCAGCTTTACTGATCATCAAATCTGCCGCCGGTATCGATTGCCTGCGGCATGTTCACAATAGTGAGATTGGTGGAATATTCTTATCATATACCATGCATAAAGTTGCTCACTATTATGCCGTGTTCACAAGAGAATATTTATAAAGGATGTGTCATAATGTAGGAGTTATCGTATCTCCAATGGAGTAAACTAAAATCTCTTCGTAAATTTTTATAATTTTATGTTGGATCAGTACTTATTGGTTAGTTGGAAACTCATAATAACGTGAAGTTTTCTTTCTTTTTCAGGATAATAGTCGGGTCAGTTTGCCATTAAACAATAGCACAGTCAGTTCGGTATCAGGATGTTGGCATCCCTGCAACCGACCGGAAACGGCCGCCACGGCCAGAAATTACGCCACAATGCGAACACAACAGCCTGGCCCTTTGCCAGTCTACCAAGTAGATCCCTACCGGCTGCTAGAAGATGACCTCAGAGACCTTTACGAGGACATAAGACTGGTAAGTTTTCAGCTTATTCTTACTACTTCAATTTCTGTTTTACTTATAAAACAAAGGATAGCAAGAGTCGAGTCGCTTTTAACAAAAACAAGTCATAATATAGAAATTCAAAAAATATTGTTAAAGGTGTAAAAGTGTATATGTCTGGAGTACGGTATTGTATGAGTGCGAAACGTGGACGGTGGCATAGCGAAATAAGAGAACTTAAAAGCTTTTGAAATGTGATGTTGCATGCGAATGATGAGGATACCGTGGATAGATAAGGTGAAAAATGAGGAGGTATTAGATAGGTGAGATAGGTTGGTAGGACACCTTCTCAAGCAGGATGGGCTAGTAAGAGACATATTAGGAGTAGAGACAGGCGTAGATCAGACTACCATTCACAAATAGTTAAGAATGTGGGTTGTTCTAGTTTTAGGGAATTGCGAAGATTAGATCAGGATAGGAAATAGTGGAGGTGCGTATCCAACCAGTGTTAGGACTTGGGCTCTATGATATAGAAACAAAATATCGATGATGATAGTGATATATAAATGACAGACATAATATGAAGATTGGAAAAACTTTAGCGGTTGTTGTAGAACAAACAGAATAGCACAAAACCTAACGCCAAAACAAGACAAGTAAACTTCAGTCCCTGAAGAAGGTAACTTTGTTACCGAAAAGTGCTTCGGACAACTACAGTGTCTTGTTTTGGCGTTGGTGAGATAGGTTGGTAAAATGACAGACATCTTTACAGATATTTTGCTTTAACATTTAACCCATTTTCATAAATATTTGATTTTTAATTTTTAGTTGAAGCACTGGTTGTAATAAAATGAAAAAATAAAAATAATATTTTTTTTAATTGTATTGCAGTAATTTCACAATATAGAAAATGCTGCAGCGGCATATTATTTTATATCACTTAAACAAAGCCTAAATTTAATAGTCATTGTATACGCTATTCAGCCTTTCGAAATTGTAAATATCATCTTATGTAACATATTGAAATACATTAGATATCAACATGGAACTATTTGAACAAATTGTGTTTAAACTGTAGAAATGAAGACGCCGAAAACGTAAACAGTTTATTTGGGCAGGGTCATAAGAAAAAGTCGAAAACAATTTTACTCAAGGTTTCGTGGTCATCCTTAATACTATTGTCAGTTTTCGGGCTTTTTCATGAGTTGTTCTTCCTAGGATAATAGGTTGAAGTCATCGATTCGGGAGTTTTTAGTTCTCAACGTTTCGTCGACACGCATGGACGACATCATCGATAACTTCGACCTACCTTCCGAGAAAGAAGAACTTATGAAAATGTCGTCCATGCGTGTCGACGAAACGTTAAAAGCAAAAACTCCGAACGACGGGCGAAAAGCCCGAAAACTGACAATAGTATCAAAGTCAAAAACGAGATGCGAATGATGAAATTGAAAATGAAAAAATTGGAAACGATGACTAGAAAAGTAGGAAATTAAAATGAAGGATTAGTCAGGGACACATTAGAAGCAGAATTAAGAGTAAAGAAAGACGAAGGGAAGTACTACAATCGCCCGAAACTGTTAAAACTATATAAGAAAATAAGAAAAAAATAAAATTTTAGAAAAATATTTATTTACTGATTAGGATCGTTAGTTGTAAAAATTATAAAAGACTACTTCAAATTTATTCTTTACAGCAATTACGGAAAAACACGTTTCAAAAGGAACTGTACGATGTGGCTACGTACTATTTTGATGGCCAGGGCAAAGCTATTCGACCAATGATAGCCATCTTGATGGCCAGAGCTATCAATTATCATATGTATAAAGATAAAAGGTAAGTAACTTTATTTTTGATTATTTGTATTTGTATTCGTATTAAGCCATTGACAATAACTATTCTGTGGCGTATGTAAACAGTCGAAGTCATTAGAAGTAGGTCAGTGCATTAGTGTCATAGATCAGTGTAAAATAGAGTTTACTATCAGCGATGAACAACGTCAGGCGCGTACCCAATAACCCCCCTCTCCCGAAATTAAAAGAATACCCTAAGCAAGAAGTGATAACACCATAATAGAAACAAGTGGTAGTGAAGGATCGAAGGATCTATTAAAAGATGATAAAGTTACTATAACTAGTCGTAAAATTTATTTTTAGAAATATGCAGAGGGTAGTGACAGCAAGGAATAGTAACTTTGTAGGGATATATGGTTTATGGTAAGGGTTCTAACCGAGCAAGCGTGCCTTTTTAAAGGAGAGATATTTTGACCAGAGTGTGAATAAAAAAAAATGATTAAATCTAATTAAAACCAGACACACTCATGTGTGATAGCAATTTTATGCACAATATGTACACACATTTTATGAAGAATAAATTTAGAGTTAGATAATATTTAGGTCCAGTTTATATACAAAAATAAACATAATTAAATTAAAAATTAGCCCCCTCCAAATAAACATGCTGCGTTCGCTCCTGGATAAAGTATTTATTTAATTAATTGTTAACGCAATGGATGTCTAAAGATTGCTATGTATAGTACCGTAGTAGTAAGCTTTTAATATTTACTTTACGCAACATAACCGTCACTGTTTACATTTTCCGTCGATGCAACTGCTTAGCTGTTATCGCAATTTCCCAGAGCAATTCACGCCCAGAGCCGGCTTCGGATTGCAATTTCTGGTTTTCTAACAATTTACCAATTTGTTAGCTGCATAGCCGTATAGTAGGCATGCATTTGTTTTACGTGGACACCTGGCAAACGGATAAGATGCGCAAAATCATTGGAATGCTGATCGTAAATAATTATTTATTTATTAATTAACGCAAAAACGTGCGTATGAACAACCATGCGTGCCAAACGTTCTGTTTAATATTAATAGATTACAGCAAGATTTATTCATCAAATCGTAAATAAAGCGCGTGGAAGACTGCTAATGAAACAATTGTATATTAAACATATATTTACAACAGTTATCCTTGAAGAGATTGGTCTGGCGCTATTTTCAAATAGTACGTGTTTTGTTTTGTTATTTAAAACTAGCATTAACCCACGACTTCGTTCGCGTGAAACTATTTCAAATTGTTTAGAATAAATACAATTGTTACAACCTGTTTGTAGGAGATTATAATACACAATTCCTGAAGTCAGCTACTCCAATAGTGTCTTGTAGCCCAGGAAATGGAGCTTAAAATAGTACAAAACCTCGCAAGTTTTTCAAAATGCGTCGATTTGTAAGAAAATTTGGGATTAAGTTTAACTTCATTTCAAAATTTATATTATGCCGATGGCCGCTCTTCATTTGTTAGGGCTGAAAACTTCCCTTTTTGCCAAAACCTATAAAACTATATATTAAAACTAAAGGATTTTCACTTTTAGCTTCAATTATTTCAAAATCACGTATTCTAAACCGGTCAAACTGAAAAAGGGTAACAATTAATTTTAATTAGGATGGTAATTAGGGGGTTGTTTTTACTAATTTTTTTGCTGAAAAAATGGAGATCGACCTTATTTTTATAATAAGTCGCTCTATTAAAAACCATTAAAATCTATAAGTTTTTCTCGGAAAATCTATAGTTTTCCCGTTATTTGACTTTGAAACTCTAATTTAGCGTTCGACGAACAAGAGCTAATCTTTAACAAGCCATAGCTCGGTTCGTATTGGTCATACAGCAATAATTAAAAAAACATATTTTTTGCCTTTTTAAAAGATACAATTTTGTTTTTCACAGTTTTTTTATAAAATGCGTACTTTTCAAGTTATTCGCAAATAACCATTTAAAAACATTGATATTTGAGATTGGATAACAACCGCCCGTCAGTGTGAATGCGCCCTTTGGCGTAATAAGATTTTGATCCTTAGACTATTTTGTACCTACTGTCAAAATTTCAAGTTAATCGATTCATTTTGAAAAAATTGAGGGGTCAAAACCTCGTTTCCCTTGCTGACGCATTTAAGTTGGTATTGCTGCATTACCTATGCACTTCTCGGTTCAAATGAATTCATGTAAAAACGATTTCCGTATTTCAAATAATACAACTTGATGACTAATGAAGCACTCGTTAATGACATTAAATTATAATAATTTGCATTAATTAGAAGTGACCGAAATTTAAAAGCAACCAAATGCAACAAAACGATTATGTAAGGTAATTAACCTAATAATAAATCCAAATATTAAAATCTTAGATTGATTAAATAAATTCTTTCAAAAAAACAACTGCTAGAGAGTTTGTGAAATATAATCTTAATAGTAACTAACTTCATTAACTGGATGTTACATCCAGTTTTGAGAATTTTGCATCGAAATTTTCGAAATCGTCAAATGTTTCGCAAAACAAGACGAAAATTGACAAGGAATTTTATTAACGTTTGGGAGATAGTCTTGAACCTTTTTTGATATGGAAAATGTGTATTGGAAATTGGAAATTGCGTTTAATTTTATTGTTAATAACTCAAAAACCATTAAATTTAAAGAAAAATTCACGAGACCATTGTTTTGTTTAAAATGAGCTAGAAAACAAATTTGATATTAATTTTCACAGGGTAAACTTTTGGTCTGTATTTAGGGAATGTATATTTAGGAAAATTTTGTATCTTTATTCGTCCGAATTTTTCTTCTAGACATTTTGCAAAATTTTCAAATACTACGTTAGGCTGGTCAAATAGTACAAACTACTCATTGTATTATATTATTGGCTGCATTTGTTGCGTAGTCAGATTTTTCTTATATAGAAGCTGGTTGCAAGTTAGTTATTTACTTCATTAATTTCCTTAGCGGCAACATCGCTTTCGTTTGACTAGGTCAGTGAACGTTTAAATAAAGGAAAAACGAAAGAGATTGTTGACCAAGCATCGGATTAAAAAGCTACATGTATAATCGTTAATCGTTGTATCTAATTCTCCAATTTACCAATTGTTTTTAATTAAACTAAGATAAGTCTTATATATATGCATTTACCGTCTTAATTGATTGTAGTATAAATTAATTGATTACAATTAAATAGTCCTTAAATATGTATATAGGGTGTCCAAAGGTCCATTTATTTGGGTCCTTAAACCTTTCAAATACGAATCTGGCTTTGAAAAGGATTATTATTTATATTCATCCTTAATAATAAAACTAACCAGAACCTAACCCTTCAAGAAAGAAATTACGTGCATCTTCAAGGTTAGGTTATGGTTATTTTAGATTGTTCTGACTCGACATCTAACTAGAAACGGATGGCAGTCTACTTAACTTTAAATGAACCGTTGTATTCTGCATGTGCTCGTGTTACTCGAAATATGTTACGATTTGCTAATTTATTTCTACGTTTAACCAAATTGAGTCACCCTGTATATCTATATAATTTTTGCACCTTTATTCGTTTTTCATTTTATGGTTTATGATTTTATAATCGAATCATCGCTATACGAACAGAGATCCGGCTCGAAGGACCATGACATGTCATTGACTGTACGTTACATGTAAATTAAAATAAAACTTGTCGTGAAAAAATGAAGTTGAACAATTTATTTACAAAAGGGACAGACATTTTTACCTGAAGGATCCGGCAAATGTACCTGGAATGCAATAATGTTTAAAAATAGACACAGCAAATGTCTTTAACAAATCTAACTTGAAGATAAAATATTTTTAGAAAACTCCAGTACTACAGTAATACATTACAATATATTATGAAAAAAATGCTGAACAATTATGGTCAGAAAAAGTATTTAAATGTCCACTTCAAATACTTTTTTTTTTAATGCTTGCTAAGTATGCATCAGTCTACTAATTTTTGTTGTGTGTTAATCAAATTCGATCCACATGGGTTTTCTATTGGTTCACGTACATGCCGAACGTTTGCATTCCAAGCCAAGCTTTTCTTCACGGACTCTGGTGAAAGTAAAAGATGACGTCTTTTTGTAATAACAATTTCGTAGAGCAAACATATGTCTGCACATATGTATGCCGTACGCATGTATGTACATGTGCGAAATCGAATTTCTGATTCCCAAAAAGTGTTCACATGCATCTGTATCAACAACCAACAACAATACTAAAGTGACAGGTTATTCTGTGTAACATTTACGCGTTCCAAAATTACCTTCACCTCATTTATAAGGCGCGACAGTTATGTTTGTTGGATCGCATTAAATCATCCTGTCATGCGTATGCGTAATCCGCCCAAATTTTTACATCGAAAATGTGTCAATTGATTTAATAGCTGATCGGTCCGTCGGTTGGTAAGTATTAATTAATGGCAAAATTATTAAATCAAATTGGTATAGTTTCAAAAACATATAAAATTATCGTCTTTTCGTCTTGAACTACATAATAAGTCACCTAGATATTTTATTAACGATATGTTTTTTTACTATATTCCCTTCCCAATCTATGCCAAGACGTCAAACTTCATTCTCCTGTATATATATGTACATATACAACGTGCGAAACAGAATCAAACTTACAAAACAAAGGAATGAATGTATTACTATACCTACAGGGTGTTTCCTACGATAAAAATTCAAGAGATGTTTCCTGAGGTTTTTTTATGAATAGAAATTCCTATAAGCATTTGTCGAAAAATGCTTCCTAAGGGCGAGACAGTCCTTCAAATGGGTCACCCTGAAAACGATTTTTCCTCAATATTTTCGAAGCAGTTTATACTATAATTCCGAAATTAAATTATTAGATTTACTATTTAGGCTTTGATCGCGCTTCAGTCTTTTTCGGTGGAATGTTGGTGAGATAGGTACTGTTTTGGAATAAGATTATGAAAAGGTTCATAAACGAAGTAAAAAGAAAAGAAGTATGGGACTGTATCCATACATTCAAGTGCGAAAAATTGA